AATATAAATAATAATATAATAAATAATTATTAATTTATTTAATCAACTTTGTTATTTCTAATTTAATGATAATAAATCATTCTTTTTGAATGATTAGACAACCTGAATTTTATCAGGTCAGGTCAGGTCAGATTGACCTATTGACTTGATCTAATATTAATCTAAAAATCTATTAACATGACTTGAATTTTTAGGTTGAGTCAGGTCAGGTAAACAGGTCAATCTGATCTGATTCAGAGCTTTAGAAATAATAAATGATATTTAAGTTCAATGGGTCAATTCAATATTTTTATAACTATGACTACAGTTTAGCCAACTTCATCATTTACAGAAAAGGATTTATCTCTTACATTTTTAATTTCACAAATCTATTAAGAAGCCTCTTTGTTAAAATTTAATGGTTAGAATGAAATAAAGAAATGCTAAGAAACAGATAGCAGATCCTTTAAGTAGATATATCTCATTTTGTAATAGTTTGAAATAATAAATCTTGAAATACTGATAGACCTAAATCATCAGAATTACTTCTATTTAGAATTCTATTCAATAATTCTAAGAAAATTGCTAAATGTTTTTCAGACTTGCTTACATATTTAAATATATATTATAAAGCTATGTTCATATTTAGAATTAGTTTTAAATTAATGTTTACATGCTAACTCTAGAGCTGTATTTGATAATGCAGATTAATCAAAGGATCATTTTTAACTGTCACCAGTTTTAGTTTTTCATTATCATCAAGTAAGCATGTATTTTCTATGATTTCTTTCAGATATTCAAATCTACAAAATTGTTATTTTATGTAATTCATATGAAGACAATATATTAAGCTGCATCATATATGTCTTTGCAATCTTAATTAAAAATGCAGGAAATTTGTTATCCTTTTAAAATAAATACATGTAAGAAGAATTGTTAAGTTTAATGTTTATTTATTTTTATATTTATTGCTTTTATTATTTTACTAATTTTTTTTATTAAGACTGATTGTATTATTTCAAATTTAAGCTTATAAAATAGATCTTTAAGAAGAATAATATTTGGCTTATAATATTTAATATAAATATTAATGCTAAAAGTAATAAAATTGGAAAGCTTACAAAAGATATACTTTCAATTGTTATAGTATTTATAATACATAATGAATATATGTGCCCTTTGCAATAGAAGGGAGAAACTACCTTATAGTAGTTTTTGAGATAAATCAGTTTTGTGAAATAAATAAAGGAGGTGAGGTGATACTAAAAATAAAATACGCGATCAACTCATAAATTGCGAATGTTAATTATTACTAAAATAAAGAATACAAGCAATATTTTTTGCAATAGAAAAGGGAAAAACAGCCAGAAAAATTATTACTGAATTTGCTGAATTTGCCAATTAATACTTTCGTTAAAATAGATTTTGGAAGGTAAAGGATTTGGCTTTCATTTAATGGTAAGTGATTTTTTTTATTTTATTTTTTTTTGTTTAAAGAATTTTATTAATGCTTCTTTTCTTTTTTTTTAGCAATAGTCTTGGATGTAAAGGATTTAGCTTTTGTTTAAATAATTAGTAATTTATTTTTATTTTTATTTGTTTTTGTTTTTGTTTTAGGAACTTTATTAAAATTTCTTTTCCTTTTTTTTTTTAGTGATGGTCTTGGATTTATAAAGAGTTTGGCATAATGAATGAAAACTTTTTTTTTATTTTTTTTTTTTATTTTAGGAATTTTATTCTAGTGGTATACAAATATATTAAATTTATTAAAATTAAATTAATATTTAATTAAAAAAATAAATTTATAAAACTAAAATAAATTAAAAAAAATACTAATTAATTATTGTTAAAATATTTTTATAGGTTATTTTACAGTTACAATAAGCGATAGTCTTAGACTTTGATAAGGTAGAGGTTTTATTTTTTTTTTTTAGTAATGATTTTAGATTTTATTTATTAAAATGATAAGTTTTTTTTATTTTTTTATTTTTTTTTATTTTTTTTTGAGAAATATTATTAATTTTTCTTATTTTTTTTATGATTATTCTTAACTTGGATTTCAGATTCTTGGATATTTTTGTTATTGTTTTAAGAATATAATTAGCTTTTATTTTTTTTTCTTAGAAATAGTAATTAGATAAAATAAAATTTTTTTTTTATTTTTTTTTTTATTTTAAAAATAAAAATTCATTATTTATAAAATATTTTATTTATTTTTTTTGCAATTATCTATGAGAATTGCAAATTTCTTTGCAAAATCTCTTAGAGATTCACGAAACTACAAATAATTTTTAAATTACAAGTTGCATGATTTTACATCAATTTATGAGTTAGGTAATTTTAAATCTATAAATAGATATGCGATTTTTTTGAATTATTTGATTATTTAAAAATTTTATTATGTAACCTATCCTACTTTAATATACCAAAAATATTCCTTCAGCCATATTATATTAAATGTTCTCATTGGTTCATTTTTTATTTTTCAACCGTTTTCCCCCTTTCTATTGCAAAGAACTCATATTTAACTATAAATTAAAAATAATAAGCTACTTAAGTCTAAAAAAATTAAAAGTTTTAAGACTCTAGTAAGCAAAATATAATATATTTCTTTCTTTCTTATATAAGAAAGCAGTTATGAAAAAAAAATATCAATCAAAATTAAAAAAATTTGTAAATATAATATCTTAACACTATATATTTTAAAAATAATACAAAATTTTTAAGTGATTATAAAACACTTTATAATATATGAAATAAAGTAATAAATAACTTGCTTAAAAAATATTCTTTTAACTTTGCTATAAATCATAAAAAATTCAATATGAAGTTCAATTTTAAAAAGGATTCTTAATACTCAATTTTAATACTTACTAAATATTAAAGCAAATTTCATAGTGAATATGTATTTTTTCATAAAATTAAATCAGCAGAATTTTTTTTAAATCAATTTGAATATTATAATCATTTTATTATAAATCACTTTAAAGAATTTAACTTTTATATACTTAAATAACTTAAAATATGAATTTAAAATTAAAGTTTTTTATTTTTAAGAGTGCAAGAAAGTTTTTATTTATTTTATTTTATTTTATTTATACTAATTTATTATCATTATATTATTAATGATCTTTATATTTATATTAAATAATTTTATATTTTTATATTAGTATATAATATTTAAAAAATAAAATTTTAATAAAATTAATTTATTCATTAAATTAATAATTTAATAGAAAGGAGTGATTGCTTTAAATTTAGATATGCATACATTCATAATTGACTATGATCCAAGTTAAATAGAAAAAAATGATATTAATAAAATTTATCAACTTTTTTAGGTATATGATAAAATCTAAAGTAAGCATGATTTTATTCATGAAAAAGTATATAAACAAAATGATATAAGTTTTGCAAAGTTATGCTTATATATATATATAAATTCGTTATCTTATTAATGATTGCTACCATAAATTTGCCAAATGATTGTATTAAAATTATCATATTATTTTGTTGCTTGAGTTTAAGACATAGGAAATAGTTATGCATAGAAAATGGCAAACTCATTTTAAAAATAAACAGATGATGTTAACATAGTCAAGATTTCTTTAATTAGTGATAACATAAACAAACTAATATAGAAATCCCTTTTAAAAGTTAGTAAAATAAGATTAAAAGATATTGGTTAGAAATTAATCTTACTTTTTATCTTTTTAATAGAAAGTGTCTCATTTTATAACTGAACCTTATGTTAAGAAAACTGATTTTTGATGTAAAAATATACCTAGTTGTCTATGGTATCAGATAATTATATGTACTGAAGAATATACTGTATCAGTAAGACGTAGGTGCTATAATCATATCCATTGAAAATTAGGTGAATCCAAAGTGTTTCATTGTTCCAATTGTGCAAAATATATTTGCTTTGCTATTTTACCCTGCTACATCCCAACCAAAACCAAGAGCCAGTTTATGACCTACCCCCTGGGATCTTCATGAACCTTGCAGAACATGTATATTTACTTATTAGGCATTATCAGAAATACATTTAGATTACTGTAAAATGATGATCAAAAATATTTGGACGGGTATGCATATAGGCGCAATTGCTTTGCACATTATAGGTCAAAAAATAATATATTATATAAAAATTCAGCCATATTACCAACTTTGGTTATTTTAACAACCTTATTAGACATAAATGGTTTTTATTAAAAATGAGTTACATTAATTTTATTATTATTTAATGAAAAAAAATTTTTTTTCCCATCCCTGAACATCATTCGACAATCCAAATTTCAAGTTTATTTTCTTTCAAATACAATTTAGAAGCGGTGTCAAAATCAGCATTATTCATAATTGTAATGAATTCGCCTTCTTCGTCTTTATATTTAAGTTTTGATATTTTGGCAATTTCAAAAGCTGCTTGTATTTTTTGTTTGATAACATCATATCTAATTGGTTGAATAAAACTTAAGATACGAATGTCTGCGCCAACATGACATTTTAAAAGAAGTTTTTCGTCTTTCATCTTTTTTTTTTTTTTTTAAAAAAAATAAAAAAAGAATAAGTCAATTATCTCGAATCATCAAACCTTAAGTAAATACGATAAATATAATTACCGAAAGGGATGGAATTGCATTAGATCTTCCCCAATCAGAATTGTTGGTTCTTGTTATGCCTTTGTTGTTTCTATTAACAAGGTAATGAATATGAAGCCCGACCATATCTATGACTTGTTGAGGTGTTGACTCTTGAACAATCATACTAATCGATGTAGTCTTATCTATGGATACATTTTGAGTTAAGATCGCTTATGAAAAATAAATCCCGAATTGGAAATTAAAGTAAATTCTTACATAAATTATCACGAATAGGATCGTCTTTAAGATAACCTTCCTTTGAACTATAATTGACCTATTCATAAAAAAATCACGTATAGTAAGCGAAACTCATAAACGATATAGACGTAGAAAACGACATACCGAGCTTGCAGGATCTTTATCTTTTTTCAAGGTTAAAACGATAACATTTGATTGTATTTTTGAAATCGCTTCAATATTATCTACGGGAACATAAATTTTACATCTATTTTCATTTAGAAAAATAGATATACCCTCTTCCAAATATTTATAACGAAATCTTAATTTATAATCATCAAAAGCTGGATCAATGGATTCATGATATTCTTCAATAGAAATACTTGATAGATTAAATTCAATGTGCTTGGGCTGTTGTTTATAAATTGGGGTTCGATTATAATTATTATTATTATTATTATAATAATAGTTTGACGATGATGATTTTTTATTATGATTACATCCTGCTCCACCGCCATTATAGGTTTTACGATTTCCGTAACTGTTGGTATGATTTGTTTGTTTGGAGTGAATCTATATGGTCGGTGGTGTCAAAGTGAATAACGTGGACAAAATGTTAAGTGAAAAAGAAGACTTTGGGATTGATTCACTTACCCAAGGGATGTAATCATCCATATCCATGTCTAATAAATTTACTCTGAGATATCTCGAAATATGAAATTTTTTTTTTTTTTGACACCTAACCTGTTCGAGTGCTGTTTTTATACTCCGAGTTATTTTGAAACCCTATTACACAGTAAAATAGTGGGTTATTTAACACATTGTATCATTTACAACAGTAAGGAATAATATGACAGTAATAAATACTTTTAATGTTTCAAAAACGAACTTATCATTAAGTCACAAAAATGTCTTAAAATATTAGAAAGAATAAGGGGGGAAAGGAAAGTTGGTGGGCTTTTTATTAAAGGAAAAAATGAGAGAATAGGAAAATCAGAATTTATAAACTATTGTTACAAAAAATCAATGGCAAAGTTTGAAACTAGCAAGTTTCAAGACCTTATGAATTTAACCTGAATTGGAATAAATAAAATAAAAACAGATGCGCAGTTCACTTTCTAACTTGGCTTAGTAAGAAAATTGATGTAGATTGTGAGCCCCGATAATGAGGCTCACTAAATGCACACGTGTCCATTTTTCCATCGCAAAGAAAAAGATCGAAAATGAAAAAAAAAGTCATTTTTTTTTTAGTCTTTTATTAGGGTTAAATTAAATATTAATTGTTTGGGTAACAATATTAAAAAAATTTTTAGGCACAAATAAAATGCAAAATAAAAAAACAATAAATAAGACTGATTTGTAATTGATTAACTATTTTATATGATAATAGCGAAAAAAAAATTTTTTATAGAATACAAAAATAGTATATATAATGTGATTTATTTTTATTCTAGCATTGTTATTGTCTTGATATATATATGAAAATTAATAGCTTGGGTTACTCGTCTAGTATTTAAAGATGATGTAAATAGCGTGAATGATACCTAATGTGAAAAAAAAAAATTTTTTTTTTATTAATTAATTAATTTAATTTATTTAATTTATTTTTTTGAAATGCTGATACATACCAGGAATATAACCAAGAAGTGTTAAGAGTATGTTAATACAGAGGTCAGCACCACATCCTTTTTCTAAAAGGACACCTAAAGGTGGGAGGAAGATGGCGAAAAAGATTTTGAAAATATCAGAAAAAGTGACGGCCATTTGAATGAGATTATTTTTTATTTGATTTTAGTGTGAAATTTTAAGATTGAGGTTTGATATGTGAGGAATTATTTTGCTTTTTTCGTAGTGGGAAACTTTTGAGTCTTTATAATAGAAAATTTAAACGCCATAAACACATGACATGTTTTTCTCGAACTGATTATAGTTAAGAAGAGCTGATCCTCAACGTATTAATGACGTTCCCTTATTTTGAACGTTACATAAACCGTTTTAATGACATAATAAAAAAACCTTATTACTTTTAATATAATTAAAAATATGACGATGATGATTTCTCATACTATTGTGCCTATGTATTTTTAAATTCTCATATGCCCGAGGAGTTCTTGGCACCAGCCATTCGATGAAATATATATTGTGTCAGAATGTCGATCTGCACCGTATTACAAACACTACATAATATTTACATTAATTATGAAAATCATGTGATAATTTCATATGGATAATAAGCCACTTACAATATATGAAATATTTTTACGTGACAAACGCGTATTTTTCATATAATAAAAATCTATGATGAATTTGAGCTGTGGCGGTCGTATGGCTAATTTTAGGTTGTCTGCGATTTATCATGAAGGGCATTTTAAACTAAATTTATTATCTTGTACATTTAGAAAAAAATCTTAAAAATAGTTCTTCTTCGTGCGAAAAGAAAAGGACTGATAAAGTTAGACTTTATTCTGGTTTACCGTATTTAAACTTTTAACGCCAAATAATTTATTTGTTTGTTATAATTTTCCGATTCCGATACTTTAACTATTATTATCATTCAACTAGCATTGAATTATAAAAATGGAATGCTTTCTCATGTGATCCATAAAAACAAATTTTTTTAAAGTAAGCCTTTTATACAGATGATAATATTTCGATAGTTAAACCAAAGTTAAAAATCAATAAATAATTTGTCAATAAATGCTAATGTATTAGTTTCTTTTTCTTTTTCTTTTTTTTTTTTATTTTAACGTGCGGTAGCTTTGCACAATCTTTATTAAGAGTAAAGTAAAAATACAAATTACAAAT